ATGACCAATTCAATTATGAAATGTGCTATAATATGCCTTCTGTGAGATAAAATAAGAAATGTATTCAAATGATTCATATTTCACTTGTCAGGGGTTGGTAAAAGTGATTTGCAGTGGTGCAAAGTATTCCCACTTTACAGTACATTGTCTATGTACCTTTAGTATAATAATATAAATTCATTTATAAAGTTTGGAGCTACGAGAGACAACAAGGGAAAGATCAAGATGGAGAAGACTTGTCCATGAAGTCACCAGGAGTCGTCGACGACTCGATGGAACTTAACAACAACAAAAAAGTTTGATAAGATATTATTTTCTAAATGGCTCACAACTGAAGACTTTGTGATACTAGGCTCTTCAAGGGTACTTCACTGTTCTGTTTATAAAAACACCCTTCAAATGCAAAGAACAAAGGATGCATAGTCTGTCATTTCTATGATTTCAGATTGGTATTTATTGGTGTCAGGAATATAAACACACTAAAAAGTCTCAGAGCATCCACAGATCCAGTTTAATAGAGGGGTACAGTACATGCTTTCTTAGTTCATAGTAGTAGTAATTTCATTCTCCATTAAACTTAAATTTGAGATTTCTTCAAAATCAGGATTACTGACTTTGTTATGGAAAAATTGTAAGACGGCATAGCTGACGTTATAAATTTTTATGTCACTCTCTAGTAAGATGGATAAATACCTTTTTCTATGAAACCAAAAAGCTTTCTTTCTTTTGTTTTAGCAAATGTGAAATAGCCGGTGTCAGTATGCATATTTTCTTAAAAAGATGGTAACTTTCTAGTGAAGGCCAACTTTGAAAGTTTTTGACACATTTTGATGTAGATGTGAGGATGTTCTCACCTACCTCCTTACATTCATTTGTTTTACTATATTCTTGTAAGACTATGTTAATTTTTTAAATATTACTAATTTCTTACATTTATCTGCTCTGGTTAGTATGAATTTGTTACTATCCAACCATTTCCTTATGAACCACACATTATTCTGGGCCATGTTATGTTTGTGATCATTTTGTTGCACTTGAGAACAGTTTCCCATCTAAAATATTCTGCTGTAATAAGGTCCATTCTTTATATAGTGAAATGCCAGTATAATAAAATTTTCAATATAACAAATATATCTTGAATCTCCTGCCAATTTCCTATTCAGCTCAACGAAAAAATGTTTCAGTTTAATGTAATAAAAATTCTGCCTGTTACAAAAGAATAGTTTCATTATAACAAAATCTATAAATACACAAATCATTCTTTATTAGTAAATGATAAATATTATGTCAAATAGTCTGGCAACATTAAAATTCATGTCTAGTTGAACTGGCAACACTAACTTTAATCCTTAGTTATGGTTTCATTTAATGTTATTACTCTACAGTTTATTTCTTTTTAGGTTTACAAGAAAAAAATGGAGAAAAACAAAGAATGAAAGCAGTTTTTTTGAAAGAGAATAAATTAGTATTGGATAATGTGCAAAAAAAAAAATTAAACAAAAAGATGTGCCTGACAGCCTACTGGAATGCTGTAACAGTACTGGATTTTATTGAAAAATCTTTGATTAAAGAAACAACATACAAAAATTAGACTTCTTTTACCAGAAAATAATGGCTTCAATCAGAAATAAGTCTTGCATCTTTAATTAAGATTCCAACTACAGTGGTGCCTCGTATAATGTACACCTCGAATTACAAACACTGCGAACAGACTTTCTGTTCGGCAGTTATGTGAGGCAAACAACAGACTTTCTGTGAACAAGTGCGAATGCTGTTTCCACTCTTTTGCCGTTGCCAATGACAATCTGCTATTTTTATAATATATTAGTATTATTAGAATATATTATTAGTATATCTGAAGTACAGAGCTCATGTTGGAATTCAGCTTGCTCCCTTGTTTATTACATACATCACCTCAGTGCAGGGTATTTACATTTATTCAAGTATAGTGCAAATCGTGGCTTCTAAAAAACAGAAAGGTGATTTCAATTGAAACAAAGCAAGAAATCATCAGAAGGAGTGAAAGTTGACAAAAACTTCCATGTCAAATGGAGAGAGGTTCAGGAGTTTACCAACACTCATTATCCAAACAGAGCTGAGGCCAACAGGATCAATGATCTCTACAGTGACAACCCTTGCCTGTCATTTCTGACAGATGTTGAGGAACACCTTGGACATGTTTTTCAAGAAGCCAGTTGCCAAAAAACAAAGGATGGAACAAGAGGAGATGACCCTGCAAGCTCTGGTAACCTCTCCTGAATCTGACTCTGATTAAAAAACAATAGAGTCCTGCTGTAATGTGTAAAAAGTGTTTCTGTATGAATGTTTGAAGAAAGTGTTCCTCCACCTCCTCCTCACAACATCTGACTACACGGCATAATTGCTCCATTTTCATTTTTTTTTTTAATGGTACAGTACGGTTATTTTATACTGCGGAATGAATTATATGTTTTAACATGTATTTCTATGGGGAAATGCGTTTCGTATAACGGACATGTACCTGGAACGGATTAAGTACGTTATACAAGGCACCACTGTAATCAGTACTACTATATTGTTACTTTAGTTGTTCACTCATGATATTGTTTGACCATTTTTTATTCTAATTTATTTACATTCTGAAAATGTGAAATTTGGTTTCATATAAATACTAATAGATAAACTGAATTTTTAAAAACTTTCTTACTTCAAAATGTAAGAGATTTTTTTTTTTATCATCATTAAATTTCTTTTATCTTTGCATTTTTGACTGTATTTCAATATAATGAAAATATTTTGATGGTCCCCTCAATTTTGTTATACCAACATTTCACTGTTTCTCCTTTTCAACCTCATGTAGGATTGTTGTAAGGTTCAAGTTCAGTATGCAACAGATATACTGGACCCATTTTTTGGTTTGTTGCACTCTATTCAGTAATACAATGTCATCCCAAACAAAACCAGTCAAACAACTTTCCTTTCAATCAATTCTATCTCAAATGAATTAAGGCAATTTTGGCCAATCTCATGTTTAAAGAATTAAGCCTGTGGGCCACTTTCTCATGTAACTTAGCAAAATATGCATTTGCTGCAGGTAATGTGTTGTTGTCTCTAGTGTAATCTGTTCTCAATCTTACTCATTTTCTTCAAAAGCTGGTACTTGGTAGCTTTAACTAGACATAAGGACTTATTAAGGCACCCTCCTGGTCAATGATTCACTCTGAACTGATGGGTTGAATCTGTATATTGATATAAGATATACGTTTGCTCTACATTCCAATAAGAAGTTTAATTTACATAAAGCTTTGCCTAGTTTGATCAACAGTCATTCTACATTCTTTGGCTGGTGCTGCCATTATATTACATGCTAACTATGATATAATTTAATTTTGAAGAATAAACCACCTAAGATAGTGTTTTTTGGTAATACGTTTTCAAACTAACATTTTCAGCCTAGTTTATAGGTAATCGTCAGGCGTTCTTTAAAATATTCAACGTAACTGTTTACAAATTTTAATATATTCAACGAAGACATTTAAAAATTCGAAAAACAGAAAACAACATTGAACCATATATTAAGATATTAAAGATCACAATAACATCAAGATATGTCATTGTGACACAAACAACAACACACGAAAACAAATAATACATAAAAATATTTGACCATACAATACCACTAAGACAAAACTTACACATAAAACAATTAGAGATATACTATTCAGTGCAATGGCATTTTTGCATTTTATGAGCTTTTCTATCTCTCTAATTAAATGGAAAATAGTTGATTTTTAGCATTGTTTTGAGAAATAGTTCTGGATTTTTTCATTTTTAAATTTTACCATATTTTTGAGAATCTTCAGAATTCTAAATAGGCTGATTTCAGATCTATATCTTGCAAAGTAGAACATCATATTTCTTCTATATTTTTTTACTCATATGGGCATGGTGTATGACTCTGAAATGATCCCAACCACCTCATTTGGAGCTGCAATTGTACCTAATCAATCTTTATTGACTTCTTTTTGTAAAACGATGATGATTTATAGCAGAAACAATTAACGTCAGCAATCTAATTCAAATCGGTCTGAACTTTTCCCCTTGCAAAAAACAATGAGCAATATGATCACACCAAAGAGCTAAAATACTTGTACATTTACTGCTTATAACTGTAAATGATTCAAATGACATTGTAAATTTAACCTGTAGATTTTATACATTTATTAAATAAATAAATAATATACAAAAAGTAAATTCCAATATATTTATTTTTAGGTGAACACAGCTAGAGTCTAAGATCCAGACAAGAAAAAAAAAGGTTACAGTCTTAAAGACATATTTGAGTGAGGNATTTATCCTGTAGATTTTATACATTTATTAAATAAATAAATAATATACAAAAAGTAAATTCCAATATATTTATTTTTAGGTGAACACAGCTAGAGTCTAAGATCCAGACAAGAAAAAAAAAAGGTTACAGTCTTAAAGACATATTTGAGTGAGGCCCAAATCCTGAGGCCAAATATTTTTTTAATGCTCTGGTCATGGTTTTTTTCTTCTTTAGATTAAAATATATTTTGCATATATTTACACTTTAGATATGATTTTATTAATCAAATAATTCATTAATAAGTAACTCTAAACTACTCATTTAATGAAACTCTCATTGTTAGTCTGATGCAAACATAATCTCTCTCTTATAAACTTAAAATATTCCCATAAGCCATCTAAAGCAATGTCTTTGAATCGCGAGTCTGCAGGAAAATATCTGATCGTACCGATACTGAGTGACATTTAAACAGTAATCAGGAGTTACCGTAAGTACTTTGTTATGAACGGTAACTCCACACAAGCATAAATAAGCACAATTCATAGTCGCATATAACTTGCAGTCCTCAATTAGGTTGAACAATACTGATCCACAACATATAATGGCACTAAAATAAATCAGTTAACCGGTTTCATCTGGACAAGACAAATTACTTAATGGGTAAAGAATTAACACACAAAGTAACGCTCACCTCAACAACAATACCGAGATACGACAGACCATCACTCCAACGAGCCAGCACTTCGCAACACTCTTTAAACTCGTGTCTACTATGTGCGCGTGGCCGAATACCCGTGGTAGTTCTCCACTCCTCGTTACCGCATCCAAACAAAGCGTGTATACTGGTGCTACTATCATGCAGGCTGATAACTGACATTGCACACTAATAAAATAAAGCAATAAATACATAAAATTACTCAAAATTACCAAAGTAAACCATCTCGATAATGCATAAACAACAAACCTTTTCCACTTCGATTAAAAATAAAAAAAATAAAAAAATTAATTATATTATGTTTTCACACGATTAAATTTAAGTAAATAATAAAGTTTCCCTACTCCGGTACGATGTAATAACGCCTAAATCCGGGTGGGAAGGTGAAAATCCTACAGAGTCTCCTCTATGACTACCGACTTCCACAACCGTTACGAGAACAAGTCGAAATTTTGCGCCAAACTCCTCTCAACCAATCAGCATTCGTCTTATTTGGCGTCCAGTTTGAATGCTACTAATGCGAGGCTTAACTTCCAACGATTAAAACTACGAATAATTATTAATTAACCGATAAAATAACATTATTTATAAACTAAATCGTAACCGCTTTATAACGTATGCTTTGAAAAATAAAATGCTCTCGTTCGTCAAGCGAAACGGACGACGTACCGATTCGGCTGACTACCTCCGATGTCCCAGCCATCTTCTTTAGTTCCTTCGTATACCATCGAGTGGCGCTGCTTGATAATTATTCAAATTAATAGATTTTATTTTTTATTTATTTTTTAAATTAGTTTTAACGGTTTATTATTATTTTCTTTAATATTTATTATCGATTCTGTTCGATTTATAATAATTTTCTAGTATTAAATTAATTAAATTTATTTTTCTACCGTAAACAAAAGTTATCGTCTGTCTTTTGTTAGCGTTCACGTTATAATTTTAAAATTAAAAAAATTTTTTTAAAAATAAAATATTTTTTATGCAAACTGGAGCAATTTATAAGTTATTAATAATTAAAAATAAATTTAAAACTAAATTTTCGGGTTCTCGTTTTTTATTATTAATTAACGATTAATTCTTTCTATTTAAAAAATTGCTTTCGATTTTAAGCAAATAAAAATAATGTCGATGATGATGCATATTTTATAAAATTATGACGTTTCTAATTTAGAATTTTATAACGTATTAATTTTACATTTATAAATTCATATGAATTTATAAAATTCATATGAATTATATTTTTCTTCATCAAAATAAATCCTTAATTCCTATACAAATACTATAAGTGACCCTATCCTGACGTTACACGTGGATTGACTATTATTAAACAGAGTAATTAAATAATTAAATAAATAAACGAAAAGAAAATATATAAACATACTTTCCATTGCTTTTATAGTGAATGACACTGTTAATACGGGTAAAAACATTTAAAAAAAAGGGGGAAAAATAAAAGCTGGAGGATATTTTGTATATGTCCGTTTTACGTAACAGGTGACGTGGAAAAATTCGCGGAAATTTCACATCATTGTTGTCTTCTAAGCAGGATATGCTACGTTGACACGAATAAGGTCGGGTAGGTCATCACTACAGCAACAGAAGCTTGAAAGATGTCATTGAACAGATAAAATTTTGAGATATAACTAATTTGTACAAAGGTTGCTAATGGTTAGAATATATTCAACTATTATTAATAAAGTTTATCATCTATACATATGTATTATACAATCTATATTTTAATTTACATCAAAACAATAATAATTCATTCTATTATAAATAAACAATATACCATAATTATTCACTGTTACATCTGGTCATCATCTATTTAAAAACATACAAAACAGAAAATTGCAATGGTATAATATTCATATTAAAAAAAGGTATAGGCATAGTTATAATGATAATTTTCCAAGAATAATCACTTTTCAGTTTTCTCAAAATTATATTTTAATGCATTTATCAAAAGAAAATATATTACATTTTTAATAAATTATTTATATATATTTCTATGTTATAATTAATAAAGTTATTAATATATTTGAAATATTCAATAAGGAAATAATTATTTAGACATCTTGTAATTTTATTATAGTTTAAAATATAAATTAATTTTTTTAAAATTATAACATGAATATGCATATATATTTATGTAATTAATAAAAATTTCAATTAAAATACTTACATCTTACATAAAAAGACATCCGTTCAATACAAAAATCACTCAAAATTTATGTTTGTCTATCAGTTATTAGTTAAAAATATCATTCACATGTAAGTTCTATTTTTAAATCCAGAAAGTTAGTTTGTGACCATAATAAAAATTTAAATATTACAATTAAATTTTAAATATATTTTTTGAATTTTTATAATAAATTAAATTAAATTTTATATATTTAAAAATAGAATAAAATAAAGTAAAAATACCTAATATTAGAACTAGTGTTTTACTAGTTTACTAAACAATTTAAATGAAAATATTTTCAGTAATTTGGGAAAGTAAAAATTTGTTAAATGACTCAATTTTTAATAAATACATTTATAATTTTATTACTTTTTTCCATTTCATTTTTAGAATTTTCACAATTTAAATATATTATAATGAGGATAATTGATGTACAGTACTTCTAATTGGATTGACACCTGAACAATAATAGATTTGCATACAGAATTGTGACATTATATTGTTCTAAACAAGCAAAAATTCGCTAAAAAATAAATTTATAAGTATTATAAATGAAAATTTTCTTATTTCCTTTACATTTTTACATATTTCACAATTTAATGTAGTTCTAATTGGATTAATCACCTAAACAACAATATATTTGTATACTGAATTGTGACATTGCATTTTGATATAGTAAACAGAGTTAATTGTCGTATAATTACATTAAATATTCTAATCATTCAAACGAGATCATAATCAGCATAATATTCAATATAATCTAAACAATAAGCTCATATGTTATCGTTTAAATTTTAGTTTAAATATTGCAAGAAGTTTCATTATTAATTAAATATAAATCTTCACGTATAATTTTCCAATTGATTAAATTGTATAGCTTGATGTTTAGTGCATTGTATGGTATTGTTCTATACTTAAACATTTTGATTATAAATTTAATTAATTAACTATTGTTTTTTGTATATTTTAAGGCATTTTTATGTGTTAAATGATATAATTTTATGGAAAATTAAAGTATCATTTTGTTCACGACGCCCCTGAATTCGGGCTTCCTTTCAAATATAATAGATGTTCTCTGTATGACAATATCATAAGTTTTTAGATTTTTATCTGAGATTCGGATCTGTTATATTCCTCATTAATGTAAAATTTCTGTGTGTCTTCATGCAATTTTAAACAAAATTAATGAACAGGTACAACACGAAGCTGTCAGCTGATCAAAATTTTAGTATAAATCTGAAACTTGATATCTGTCGCATAATTCAAGCCAAAAATGCTATTTTCTGATAAATAAAACGGAAAAATGGCATTTAGCAATCACTTATAATTGTCTTATTAGAATAATAAATTATCACTTATTATTATTTTATTTTATTTTATTTTTTTACATTGATTTAGTGAATATTCTCTCTAATACATTATCTTGTCAATTTGAATACTATTTTCATATTTTAAAATGATAAATTTTAGAAGAAAAAAAATGCTTGATTATTATAACTTTTTTACAATTTTTTATATAAAAATACATTAATATTCTTTATAAGTATATATAAAATTTAATTAATTTTTCATTAGTTTATTTCTTGATGCATTTATTCCAGAAAATAAGAGGATTAAATTAATAAATTGAAATTTCAAAGGTTTTAAGTAACCTTAAAGTATAATAAAATCATTAAAAATTAAATTTATTTTTCATTTTCTAAAACTGAAAGATTGAAAAATATTTTTTATTCTATTTCTATATAAAATTATATATAAATACATCTAAATTGTTAATATATTAAAGTATACAACTTACATTAATTATTTCAAATATTAATACTTAAAAAGTTAGAATTATCTAAATTTTATGTAAAATATTAATTTTAAACATTATTAAACGTATTAAATCATTAAATATTTAAAATTTCTATATTATATATTTATATTAATTTATATATTTTTGAAATTAATTATCATTTTACTTTAT